ATTTGCTTTGATATTCTAAACACTCAAACATTTTAAAATGTATTATTAAATATATTACGATTTAATAGATTTTTATTTACAAACGGACAGGCTTTGAATCTGATCCTATTTATAGTTTTATTTACACCAAAATAGCTAAATGGGTCATATTTAACAGCGTTTATATTGAATAGGGTATGTTAGAATGCATTGAGCTGTAGGGGACTTGTTGTAAGTCTTTGAATGGATAGATTTTTCTTATTTGTTTAGCAGTAAGCTTCAAGTTATCGGCGGAGACAATCTGTATTTAGAGTACTAGTGAATATGATATATTTGATTATTTACATAAGTCATTGCTTATTAAAGCAAGAATTGAAAAGGTGTTCTAAATATAGCTCCGTTCCGTTGAATGATGGTTTATTTATCAATTATTGTGAAAAGGATAGCTGGCCGTGGGAGGCAATTTGTATTTAATAGCGGTACCTATATGGCTGTTAAAATCACAGCCTTGGTGGTAGCAATGTAATTTTTTCTTTTCACGATGCTTTGGAATGCGATTTAAATGTATTGATAATGTTATACTAGTATTAATTTGAATAACTGTTGTTTTTTTTGTACGCATGTTTAAATTTTGCATGCATAAAGTACATGCAAAGTGCATGTTTGTGAATAATTTTGAGAAAAGATTTTTCTAATTATTGTTATACAAAATCAGTTACATGTATATATTATTAGTTTATAACGATTTTTTTTCACAGGTTATATGACCTGATATAAATGGTTGTTTTCATATATAATCTGAGCAGCTAGGCGAGGGTTATGTTGCAAACAACTGTTTATATATGGTCATATAACCTATCAAGAATCTTTATAACAAATTTATGATAAAGCAGATTTCTTCAAAAATGGACAGCAGTTTTATATATAAAATTATATAAACGCCATGATAAGGCAGCGAAAAGCGGTGTTACAAACATGCAGTATTATAAGATTTTCATATATTCATATAATTATTAGCTGAATTGATGACATAGGTTTTTGAATAGATAAAACAATTTTTTTTCAACTTTCTGAAGATTCGGCACAAAAAAGTTTAAAAAGCTTGATAAATTAAATTGGTTGAATGGGTGCTGAAAGTTTAATAAGATACACAATGCCACAGTGCCCTGGTTAAATCCTGGATTGTTCTATAAATTTTGTCTCAGGCCTGGAAATGTCCCGGAGATAATTTTGTCATAAATTGTTTTAAAAACAATATTGTTATTAAGTTAAACAATTAAACCAAGGATTCAAATCAATATCTTTACTATGTAACTCAGTGCTTTTTTCCTAGACAGCACTCAATCTCAAAATTGAAAAAGGAAAAAAAATGCACTATGACGTATTTGATGACATTTTGCAATACTGTATTTTATTATCAGATAACCGAAGGAACTGTTTCTCTGTAGTTATTGGAAACAAAAAGATTTAATAACATTCTGGAATAACACTAACAGAGTGAAGCTTATCAGAAAGATGTAGAAAATAATAATCATAAACAATTAAACACCAATTAAACTGTCTTCAGTTCTGCAATTATGTAATTGCCCTTATAAAGACAGATGGATATCTATGATATCTGACTAATTTTATTCAGTTGTAAACTATGTTATAATTATATGTGATTGGATAAAAAGGTCATATTGATACAGAAATGTCAGATACAGGCTTCCTTACCGCCACTGTTTAATAAGCTTTGATTGTCTTCTTAAGAATATTCATTTATTTGGCTGGAACTGAAAGTGACTATCCTTTGCCATCTGTGCAGTCTGGCCTGACCTTATACAGTTGGTAGCTACAATTTTTTCTTTCATTTATGTAAATTGAAATGAACTGTTCCAAATTAATATTATACAAATTCAGCAAGTTGAGAGTTAAAAACAAAAAAAAAACCCCAGATACGACCTTAGTATGGACACATCTCAATATTTTGACTACAAGATCAACTGATTTTACATATACGTAGATATTACTCAGGCATGAACGATAATTTGAATCTTTTGAAAACATTCTGTATATAGAAACAATTTCAATCGCAAGAAAAGAATCAAAAGATAATAACTATATCATTGTAAAATCAAGAATTTTTTGTCTGAAACTCAAAGGAGTAGAATTTTTAAGACATTTTACAAATGATGAATTTCAGAACACAGACCAGAATTGCATTAAAGAAGCGGGGGAGTAATTATTATTTTCTGACAGCCTCAAATTGACACATGCATGTTTTGTTGTGTGAACCATACAATCGCTCTTGGTGAGATTGTCAAAATCTTTAAGTTCATGACATAGCTTTTCACAGGTCACTTTATCTTCAAAACAGTTTGTTTTTCTCAAGGTTTTAAACTCCCCGAATGTATTGATATATTATAATAATTGAATAGAATCATGAGAAAATATTTAGTTACTTAAATGTCATTTTATTAATAAAACCTTTGTTGTATCCAACTTCTTGTTTGTGTATATACTTATTTTCTTGACTTGGAAACTCTTAAAGAGTTCTAATGTCCTCAACATTTGAGATCATTCAGTGAAAGAAATAGAGATAGAAAAGGTTTGAAGAAGATTTGCAGAATATCGAAAAATTATTATGCAGACACGGCACAATGATTTTACTGGAATCGTTCAGGCGAAACATATTTACTGCAAAGTTATTACTAATTTTTGTGGTTTTCATGGATAGGTAAATCAAGAATTTAAGGTCCAAAGAAATTCCATTTCATCTGCTGTAAGGTGATTTTGCTTCACATTATTTACATTTGAAAAATTTGGAAAAGTTAAACAGTCCACAAATTTAGGTAGCCACAAAAATATTCTTTTTGACAAAACCACTTAATTTCATGCCCGCAAAATTAAGTGAATTCACAGTATTTATTCAGAAAAAATGGTTCATGCAAGTTCTTTCAGCATAAATGAACTGTTTTTCAGTTCGCTTTATGAGCTTTATCCTTACTGATGCCATAATTACTATGTCGTTACCTCATGCCGTAATTATGACCTGTACTCTGTCATTGTCACTTACTAACCCAATCAAACATAATAAATTTATGACATCAGTTATCGTCAGATACCCACATTAATACATGTTATGTTACATGTTATCCAAAGATGGACATCAGTAAGACTTGAACCTAAGATACACTAATTCAGTTTTTAAAATTTAAACTACATGATAATCGTCCCTTTTAATGTGGAGTTTTAACACATTCTCTGACGTCTGCTTTGTCAGTACTTTATTGGCTGTAAAAAGAGCATGAATTTGTATGAAATTAATTTTTTGTTTGTTGAAAAGTATTCCAGTTACAATATTTGGAATAGAATATCAATATATAATTACTATATTGTACTTTGATACAAATATAAAAATAAAAACTTCCTGTTCTGAAATAAAATTTCAGTTTCCAAGGCCCGTTGTAGCCATGTATAAATATTTTGTAAATATTATCATTTCTTCTATAGCCGTAACTCGCATACTTTCTTGACTTTAGAGATACAATAGACGGCATAACCCTTTTATTAACCGGTAATTCAATAACATTTAATTTGACAATCTAATGGATGGCAAGGTCACATTGTTTAAGTCAATCTTAAATCAAATTTACTTTTCAATAGGGACGGACTATTTTTTTTGTACTTTAAAAGGAATTTAAAGTACATAAATAATATTTTTCTCTGATTCAGTCGTAGATTTCAATGTCATTTGAGTTCATATTACCCTGTTTGTCATTCTGATATATTCAGAGCAATTATTTACACTAGAAATGTAAAAAGTACCTTATTTTTACATAAAAGTGTTGGTTTTTCTTTTGGAATCATGCCCACTTGGTTAGTTCACTTAGGAAGAGCTTCCTACTCTCTAAACCTGAAAGTTGTAAAAAAAAAAAAGGATATTTCACTTTTAATATAGTATGCTTTGTAAAACAGTGATAGATGTAAACCAAATAACTTTCCTTATAAAAATTGAACTTGAGCTATAGTTTGGTAAAACCCAATAATAAAAATTTTAAGCTTTTCTTATTTTAAGAATTTTTTTTTGGAATTTTCCCTAAAAATAATGGTTTTGTTCAGACCAAAAGATGGTCAAGTCAATATAAGATAATAAGCATGGTACTGGTTGATAATATACTGATAATATTCAAACATTAGTGTTAGGAGTATCTAAAAATTTAATTGAGCTTTAGTTAAATAATGATGTCTTAATATTTAAATTTTTTGACTTAACATTTGATGAGAGATGAAAGGGAAAGTTCACTGATAATAAGGACAAAGGAAAAGTTCTTATTAAATAAGAAAATAAAGTAAATATTTGATAAATTTCAATGATTTATTCAGATGTATAGTGGTAAATATTTGTTTGATACTACCATCTGTAAGTAGTTAGGTATTTGCTGGGCTCAGGTTACCTACATTGGGTATCTAGGATAGGTTTTAATAAACAGAATACAATGAAAAATGTTTTGTTGACCTCTTTCTATGTCAAAGGGTGGAGAGAGACCTTCTTATTTTGTATTTCCTTAAAAAAAATTTAAAAATCGGTCCACTTAACTGAATGAGAATGTAATTTTAGACCCTGTCTTATAAGGGCTTCGACTTATAGAGAGAAAATTGAGGACTTGCTACAGAACTGCTATAACTCATATGACATTATTATTGGAGTTACAACAATTGAGCACCGAGCCCAGGTAATATGGTTTGATTTGATCATGGCTTTTAAAATGAGCAGACCCAGTGGTTCAGTGGTATTATGTCGAAAACGTATCCAGGGGTAGCAAAGTTTAATCCCTTGCTGTTATCACTAAATTACCATACTACAAGACTTCAGCAATGAAGATCTCGTCTAATGATGCTTAAAATGTTGATCCAGTTTTATCTCTTGTAATGCAGGAACTGAAAGTGATCAGCTTTTGGCATTGGTGATCACTTGCATGTTTGTGTATGAAATATGCATGATTATATTAAATGATAGATATTGTTATATATTTCAGGGCAAAGATGGTATTGACTACATCGTAGATTGTTTGACCAGTGATAAGCTTGAGCTTCACCTGTTAGCAGGCCAGCATAGGTAAGTCACCACTAGTAAATAAGTTATGGTTCCAAGTCAAACTTGTCTGTAAAGACCACTTTCTGGTTCAGACCACTTTATTGTCTGGTTGAGCCACCTTTCTGTTTGACCTTTTCTTGTTAAGGTCAGTTTTTGATGTGGTTGAGAACCTTGGTTTAGACTCTTTTGGCTTGACTGTTCAAAGAATAGGAAAAGCAATTGTACTCACACCGGCATAGGCCTGGACGTCACACTTTTGTCTGTGCCTGCACATTGGCATCTGCAAAACTGCTGTAAGGAATGGGTTGAAATTTCACACACTTATTTGAGTACTAACAGGGTTCACTGTCTTCTCTATGGCCCATAACCCTAACATGGATTTTGACAGAATTATGGCCAGTTTTGTAGGGAGAAAATTGTTCTTCATTCAGTCTCTTGTTACACGGTCAAGCACTGAGAATAGTTGAGGGTATTGTCCTACTGACAACTCTTGTACTGGTTGAGACTTTTTCTGGTGTGGATGAGGTTACTTTCTTTTGGAAACCATTTGCTGGTGGAAATAAAAGGAAATTTTCATCAAGTTGCCATAGCAACAATGTTGTTTAATGTTTTTTTTTCAATTCAACAGATATGATATAGTCTTTTCTTTTTCGTATCTAAGATATCATAATAGTAAAGATTTTTTCTTAATAATGAAAGAATGAGGACCTGATGCGTTCCTCCACCTATAAAGCTGGAAAGTTACCACATGACCTTGGCAGAGTCAATGTGAGCCGAAACTCAACAAAATAAATAAACTTTTCTTATCAGTTATGTCATAACAAAGTACCAGGTTACGTTCAGTTCATGACCCCTGATTTTGCAGCCAATCATGTAAAGTTTGCTGTTTTGATTCATTTTGTTTTATACTTGTTTAATAAAACCAAGCAGTATATTCTGTCTTACAAGATTTTTAATGATATTTTATTTTTGACTTTCTTATTTAAGTGGAGAGCTGAAGATAATTGAGTTATCCAGGAAAGGAATTCCAAAAGTTACATGTATGTTAAATGGAGGACATTCTTCAACAGTACGCTGTCTTCACTGGAATTCTAAAGTAAGTTTACAAGGATTGATACGAAATGATTTGTCAATCTGATGATTCACCCCACTTTAGTGTTAATTGCCTAAGATAAGTAAAGATTCGCCACACCTTAACCCATTTCTTCATGAGCATTTTGTAAAAAATGGCTGTTTTCTGACATTGAATAGCTTCCTGTTACAAGTTCAAACTGCTATAAAACTATAAAAAATGCTTCAATACTGATCAAACTTGGCACAAATGTTGACTGGACCATAGCCTTTGTAACAGCATGCTCAATCTTAAATTTCCTGTTACCATGGCAATGGGGGGACATCTCAAAATTGTCAAAAATCACTATTTTGTGTTGTTGTTTTCCATCAAAACTGATTTCAAGGTGCTGCAACTTCCCAATGGATTAAGATAGAGTCAAAGGTTTTTCAGCGTTAGTTACATGTTACCTTAAGATCAACTTGAGGCCATCACTTTTTTAACAACATTACTCAAATGAAAAGCAGTGTTTGGGGCCTAAATAGGGCATTTTTTCACTATTTTAGGCCTCAAAAAAAAGGGGGGGGGGGAAAGCTGTCAAAACATGTCTTTATGAAGTAAAGGATTAAAATAATCTAAAGAAACATACTTTAAATTATTAAAATTAATAAATGATTGACTAAAATGATGTTATGATGTTTGGCATATGTATTATATATTTGTTTAATGTTTGTTTTTTAGAATTTTTCTTTTAGGTTATTAATGTTAAATTTTATAATGATTTGCCAAAGTTCACTGATGATTCAATAAAAATCTTAACAACATATTTTAAATCATTTATGTTCAAGAATGTTTTAAGTTTAACATAATATATATTTTTTTATATATTTTTTGCTGAAAAACAAACTGCTCTGTTTTCCCAGATAGTTGGTATGCATTGAAATATGACACTTTTAGTTTAATAATTTTTAGACTATTGGAAGAATAGGGAGAGTTATTGTACTTAACTAGGTGAGAATCATAGAGAGAGATACTTTATATGACCCTCTTTTCCGTGATTTTGTCCAGTATTAAATGAGTCACATCTATTTCATGTGTATATTTTCAGGAGAAAATGTTGGTGACCGGAGCTGAGGATTCATTGCTATGTTTATGGTCTACCAAGCCAGATACACAACAACACGTAGCTGCCAATAAGGTCAGACTTGAGACATTGTCTTTACGCTTTTGTGTATAATTCTTCGCATCTGCCTGGATTGTTCTGGTTTTTTTTTATCCCATGACTATTTAATTGATGGTCGAGGATTTATTCCCCAACAATTACATATTTTATATAATTTGACCCATATGAAATATGGTACTATATTAGTCAAATACATGTATACTTCATATTTATTAAAATACAAATATGAAAGTGACTTAAGTCAAAATTTATGCTTATTTTTGAGCATGGGCAAAACTTGAGGTGGCTCTTGGTCTTAAAATGATATACTGATATTGCATAAATGTTACATCGACACATCATTTATATACATTGTAATTACAATAATATGAATTTCATGTTGTATTCTAAGAGAAGCACTGGTAGCTTTATAAAAGGCAGTCATGGTATGTTATTCTGGATAAACAAAAGTTTAATTTTCTAGCATTTCTCTTTTTCATGTACATTGTATTTGATGATATGTTTTTAAAAATTGTTTTTGTTTATTTCAGGCAAAATTAAAATCAAAGAAAACAGTGACCAAGCGGAAAAATCCATATTGATAAAACATCAGTTTCATGTCACACATGATCATAAAGCAGAGACAAAAGACCAGTCTCAAAATGCTCTTCTGCCATTGGTCAAAATCAAGTCTGGAATTTTGAGTAACCAATCAGATGCCAGAGAATAGACTGGTTATGAGAAATCAAATTTTATTCAGCTAAACAAGGACTCCCTGCAGTCAGGATGTAATCTTGCCCTTTGTGGGTCCAAGAAAATATGAGATGTCAAATTCTGACATTTTATCTATGAATTTGTCCAAAGTTCAATTTTGCTGTTTTTGTAATTACTTTTACATGACCAGACATAACATCTATTGTGCTGAATAAATTTTGTTATGACAAGGACAACTTTTTAAACATGTGATACAAATTTTACATTTTATGTTGTGTTTTGCTTTTGGGGGGATGTTATTATTTTATTTTGTTCTTGTATGGCATTTTAAAAAACACTGTTTTTTGATGAGCAAGTAGAGGTCTTTTGGTCTCGGTAAAATGTTTAAGATTTTGGTCAATGAACTTGAAGTATGACTTTTAAGTTTACACAGCAACAGATGGTGTTTATTGACTGAATATTAGAAAAAAAAAGTAATGCAAGCAATTATTATGTCTGGAAATAGATTTTTATGAATAAAAAATAGAAATTATGAAAGTTGTTTATGAATGTTTTTCATCACTTGATAATCACACAGTAACTCTAATCTGGGACATATGGTAAGTAAATTTAAGTCCCAGCTCCAATTAATTAAAATTTCTAAATAAAGCAACCTCAGAATTTAATAATACATATATAAGTATGATTGTGCTAATGCTAAATCTTCCAAACTTTCATATGAATATCAGTAAAAAGCAAATGGCATACCTAATTGTTCAATTGTATTTGACAGACAGATGACCATTTTGCTGATTGGGGTGGGGGGAGGGGGCAGTAATGATATAATTTTGTGATCATTGCACAGCTGGAAGCTGATATTATGGCTAGAGTTTTAGTGAAGTCTGTGAAATTTAGATGAAAGCATAAAGCAGAAAAATTAAGCTTATTTTGTCTTATAAAAATTTGACATAAATATCATTTAGTGTGTGGTATGAAAGTTGAAGAAGCACCTACTTACAGACTTTCTTAATAAATGGTCCTATTTTAGGAAATTGTCATATTTTGGTGCAATGCTGAATAAAAATGACATTTACATTATACAAATTTGAAACTGCCCCTTGTTTGTCCATCTTTCAGTCTGGATGTAACCATTCATCATTTCTAGGGAAACATTTCAAAGTAAATCTACTGACTGGAGATTGTACAGAGCAGGTTATGATGGCACAGTTGTGTCGTGCCAGCAGCCGGATCTTGGTCTGCACATGCTAGGGGGTTAAGGGACTTCAGTGCCGAAACACAAGCATTGAGTAGCCACTACTATAAGTGAAGCGGTGGCCTACTGGATAGGATACTAGTACCTGCCCTTCAACCTGGGGATCATGTTTTCAAGCCCTACTCTGGGCACTTTAAGCTTAACAAAATAATGGTACAGTTTGGTCAGAATACATGGTTAACCTTGCATGCCTCCTATATTGTCTATGTGACATAGGAATGTTAGCATATTGCTTCAAGTACGTGTACTAGAAAGCTATTTAAGACTTAAGGCTATTTAAGAAAATCTAGTAGTGGATAAAATATCCATCTTATGTTAAATAGTACAGAATGCACCAGTGCACTGTTATGTGCAATGTTATGAAAGCCTAAGTAAAAAGTTATGTTATTTATCAAAAATCCTTTTGTTGGTTTGTTTTAGATTCATATTTTTTTATTGTGTTACTATTTAACATAAGATGGATATTTTTATCCACTACTAGATTTTTAGTTTTTCTTCTCAGCAAATTATTCCCCCTCTCCTGTGGCTAGAGTTTTAGTGAAGTCTGTGAAATTTAGATTTAAAAATGAAAAAAATAAAAAAAACACATGATAAGGCCATCCTTAAAAAAATGTTTGTTTGCAGTAACGCGACCGACTCAGAAAATATGCCCCTACTCAAAATTTTTTTTCATGGTCTGGATAAAAAATTTTTTTTTTTGAATCAGGAAATTATGCCTTGTGCTTTATTTTCGTTCTTTTATTATCTTTTATTAATAGAAGAAATAAAATGTAGGTCTTATTAAATTAGAATTCAGTTATCAATTTATTAATTGTTACCAGATTATCAAAGCATATATTGTCCAGCATTTTGAAATTCCATGTTTATTTGGGAGTACAGTTCAATAAAAAAAAAAATCGACCTACCTACCCACCTTGAAAATTCTGGGTCGGGTTACTGCAAACAAACATTTTTTTAAGGATGGCCTAATCTATTCTTTTTGATTAACTAAATTGTTTTCTAGCATTTTCAATTTTTGTCAAACTAATATTTTGCACACACAATATTTTCTGCAAACTTTTTTTTATTGTAATATTACTTTTACTGAAATATGAACGAAAAAAATATAAAAAAAAATCTCCGTCCCTGGGTGGGCTTGAACCACCAACCTTTCGGTTAACAGCCGAACGCGCTAACCGATTGCGCCACAGAGACAGTTGACGAAGGGGAAAGGAATATTAATATAGATACAAAGTATTATCTATTCAATCATATAATGGCGCCGAGTGCACGTGAAAAGTGATCTGCACCTAAAGATGTTTGATTAACAATTTTGATACTTACGACTTGTTTTTCAAATCATTCATTAATAAATTGGGCTCGAATTGCTCATAAAATATGCACTGGTGCACAACTGCACATATCCAATACTGTAGAGCATCTAAATTTTATCGATCATATGAAGGTTAAAAAAAATGTCGCAGGATGACATTTATAAGGAAAATAAGTTCTGGTAATGTGTGTGAAACTCAGGTAGGAAGTAAAAATGTAACAAAACGCACAATTAAATAGAATTTGGAGATTTAAAGGTATACTTTGTTGTTATAACAACTTTGTGACGTTTCGTCACGTGTCTGATGACCCGGGCCAATTCGCAATCGGGTTAGCAGTGTAGATTACTACGCGATAATAGATTTTGTGTATTGCTATTGTGTATTGAGGTCACATACTTTTCAGAGTAATTTCTCCAAATATTAATCAATATTCGGAATTTCAAGTCAAAACTGTATATTACAACTTTTAATCACAAAATTAAGGTTATAAGTTGATGTTTTACTTTAGTATTTTCTAATAAATTTGGAACTACATTAGTGGTGTATTTAGAAATTCAAACAGGTACTTGTGATACACTAATTTTGACAGAAAATGGCGGATAGGCAGTCATAAACGTAGAGCAATCTTATTAAAACGTGAGAACTGTAAAAACTGTGATACGAATGTAGCCCCTTCTCTTACTAACGAAATGAAGGGACTACCACGTTTTATTTTCGCTACGTGATGGGCTGTGCAAACGGGAAGTTAGAGCCTGAGGCGCCCCCAAATGACATAGTTTATCCAACTTATTACGGAGGTAAAAATGGGGCACGAACCGGGCCGAACGGCGTTGCGTACACAAACGCTAAGAACCAACAGGCACAAAGGAAAGGGGTTCAACCTCCGCCAGAAGGTGGCCAACCGAAAACGAATAAAAAGGTGAGATATGGACAATTCTTTGTCTGGTAGAATTCTCTGTAATATTTTTTTTCAGTCTGGTAATGAAAGACGTCAGAATTCTTGATTTGATGATTGACATATAAATATATCCATGTTTCAGATTAGAACTAAGAGCCATATCTATCAAAAATGTTTTCATTGATTAAGCAACTTTATTGTGTTCATCATGTTAATCAACATGATCATCAACCAATGGCCAATCAACCCTTACAAATTTACTAAATGTTAACAACAAGTTTATTTTATTAAAATAATGTTTTATAAATTGTTTATTTTATTAAATGTGCAACTAAGGGTTTAAGGCCTGTTGATAATAGCATTTAGTGTTTGAAATTATTGTTTGTCCATTAGGATTGCAGTATTTCAAATGAATATTAACACATTTACTTCGGTAAATCGTCAAACGGCTGTGCCGCACGTGACCAATTAAATTTTGTGAAAATGTACAAATAAACTTAAACCTATACTTAAGTCAGTAATGTAAGTTATTGATATGCTTTGTAATTCTTATCATTTATATGTTAGAGCAATATACATAATCTGGGTAAAAAAATTTAAAATTAAAAGGACAAACTGATTTTATTATGGTGTCATTACTGATAACTACAGAACTCTAAGTAGAAAACATGTAAATTATAGGGGACAGTTCAATGTTAGATATATGCATACAGAGCATCAATTTTGGGACATCAACTAAGGTGCCAATGCTCATGATAATAAAGTGATAAAAAATTGCTGATTTTAGCAATATTATTGTCTTATCTTGTTTCTTATTTGCTGGCTTAAGATTCAAACAGTACAGAATACAATACATGCATTCGAAAGGAAATTATTGTTCACAAAGGAAAAGAAAGGTTTAGCTGGTTTAGCCATTAATTTTTAGAATAAAAATCTGATACAGTAAATATTAATATTATTATACCAAAAGTTGTGAAAATACATACTGTATATAATTTATTCGAAGATATAGATTCTATGTGTTTATTTTAGGTGTTGTTTTTAATTAAATTTTGTTGATATCTATAACAGCTTTTTTCCCTTTATAACAGACCTGTGCCATTTACAATGCCCAATCCCATAAAATTTAAAATCATGTTAGTTTCTCCCATTTTAAATGGAAGGTAGGGCCCATTACTTGTAAAACTAGGTAAGTACATATTAAAATGTGTAATATACAATTTAATATGTAACATTTGCCACTTGTAAATAAAATGCTGAATTAAATTTAGTTTCACAATATATAAGTTATTTTTTTTTATCTGTCAATTTCAGGTTAAAAAATATAGGGATAAGTTTGATCCCCGTGTAACTGCCAAATATGACATTAAAGCTTTGATTGGCAGGGGAAGTTTCAGTAGAGTGGTTCGTGTTGAGAACAGACTCACAAGACAACCATATGCTATTAAAATGATTGATCGAGTGCAGGGAAAGGAAGTGTTTGAATCCGAGTTAAAAGTCTTGAGAAGAGTCAAGCATCAGTACATTATTCAATTAGTGGAAGTGTTCGAAACGAGGGATAAAGTTTATATGGTTATGGAACTGGCAACAGGTGGTGAGCTTTTCGATAGGATTATCGCGAAGGGAAGTTTCACTGAACGCGATGCAACGCGAGTGTTGCAAATGGTGTTGGAAGGGGTTGATTATTTGCATGGTTTAGGCATTGCACATCGTGATCTTAAACCAGAAAACTTATTGTATTATCATCCGGGTCATGATTCCAAAATTATGATAACTGATTTCGGGCTTAGTGCCACCATAAAAGGAGAAAATATGATGCGGACTACATGTGGGACTCCAGAGTATATTGCCCCAGAGATTCTGGCTAGAAAGCCATACACGGTTCAAGTTGATATGTGGGCTGTGGGAGTGATCACATATATTCTCCTTAGTGGAACTATGCCATTTGATGATGAAAACCGGACAAGGCTTTACAGATTAATTCTGAAAGCTAAATACAGTTATGCTGGAGAGGTAGTGTATAAATTTTATTTTTCCGCTCAAAAAAAATTTTTTGTGAAAAATTGTGTCTTTTGTGGTTTCTTTCATGACCCTTATCTTAAGTGAGGGGACCCCGGGACAAATACGAAAAAAACAAAGCAGACCTTGTTATCCTTGCTCTTTCCATGGTGTGGGAAGCTTGGGTTTCAGTTGACTGAAACATTTAAAAAAAAAAAAGAAAAAAAGAAAAAAAAAATACATGATGAAAACTTGAAATGGCAAAGAACGTGTACATTGTACATGCTTTGTCAAAAAGATTCATCTAGCATTGTTGTTTTTTTTAAAAAGGTTGTAAATTTCAAAAGTTTTTTTTAATGTTTCTAGATAATCTACTGTAAAATTTACTTTCCTAGGGTGTTATAAGATACACTCTGAATATTTAAAATGAAGAATACGAAAGACTTGCTTTTAGATCTTTATTCTAATTTTAGAAACTCTTGGGCAATTTCTGATTTGATTGATTATATATAAAAATTGAGATTAGAAATAATATATATAAATATTTTAAAAGTAAACTTTGTTAAATGCATCTGGCTTGAGTAATCATGTAGGAAAACAGGAAGCCTTTTGTTAATCTTACAATGAGCAGTCTTTATTCAAAAAAAAAAAAATTACTTAAAATTGTGGTTTTCTGGCATTAAGGATACAAACTCTCAGAGAGTTTATTGTTCCCAGGCATGAAAGATAAAATACCCTTTAAAATTGGTAACATAGCAAAAAAAGAACAAGAAGATTTAGATAAATGTTTTGTTGTTTAGTTCGAGCTATAAAACTTGGAATATATTATTTGGTTGTCAAACATTTGTTAGTTTGTTACATGTACATGTACTAGACTGGTTCTCAAAAATTTTGCTAGTGATATAATGACTATGTATACATACTTTGTATAAATGTAGGGACAAAAAGAACTGATATGTAGCATTGTGAATTTGTGTACACAGCTAGGGTGCCTTTATTTGTCATATAAATACAAATATGAATGATTCAATTAATGACTGATTGTAGACTGACTTCAGGGTGGCCATACCATAATGCTGTGTGGTTTCACATGCAGTAATTTTGCCTCAATTTGAAGATAAATATTTTATTTCTTAACCAATTTTAATTGAAGTATCAATATATTATAAAGGCTATTCTACATTTAAGTAGAAGTGCAGTCTATACTGGAGGCAAAGGCTAATCAATTTCAGTCCCAACAGATTAAATGTTTTACCAGAATGTTAGAGATAGGGAAAAGTTTTTCTTCTATTAAAGAAAAAAATATTTACAGGTCTTTTCTCACCCAAATTTAGGTAAAATACTTAAGAAACTATGTGGCTAATAGCAGAACTTTAAGACACAGAGTATCAAGTCTATAGTTTAAATTATTTAGTATCAACAGTATTTGGTCCCTCCCTTGGAATTTTTTTTTTAATTTTTACAAACTTAGGAGCTTTTTGAACCATAGGGGTATTTAAAATAACATCATCACAGTGTCTTCATTCAGTTTTAGTTTCTCACAAAAAGTAGTACATGTAATTCAATATAAAAGAATGATTTAAGACTATGTAGACAAAATGGGTTTAAATTACATGTATTAATAATAGTAATACTATTATGATCATTTATGATCCTTTAAATACCATGTGTGTTACATATATGAAAGGTATTTCTATGGTATGATGTTCTGTCTTTTAAAGTTATTTAATCTGTCTTTGGTTATTAATTCTAACACCCAAAAAGATTTTTTTCAGTGAATAGTTTCTTTGTTACTCTTTTATTTCGGCAACATGTTTACTTCTGATTAGTTGAGTTGATAACAAGAAAAAGACAATAAATGGAATGATCTCTATGAACTTGGTAAAGATCTTGATCAGATCTGTAGATAGAACTATATTATTCAGGGAGCGGCCATCTTTTATGACTAGGAAAAAAAAAAGGTAGAAGATTTTCTCTGTAAATTTAAGCATTTCTGGCAATGTTGTTTAGGTAGATTATGTTTACACTAAGCCGCTGTATCATAAGCCTCTTAGGCTGTTTGGTTGAGAAATTAATTGTTTGTGGGAGGATAAAGGCACTCCACTGATTAATCCAGGATTCTCCCGAGGTAACAGGTGCTCCAGTAATTGGTCTGTTTTTGCAGTGCAGTCATGATGTTTTATTACAACATCACCTCGAAAAAAATTTTTTTTTGGTTTATAATCTTGTTTGTATCTATGAATGTTGTAAGAACTGGTTATAATAAATGTGAAATGGTTTGAAGCTTTAGAGACTTGTTAATAAACAATTTTAGCTTACAACTTATAATTAACAGTCATGACTTAATTATAATGACCAAGTTTATTCAGCCAGACTCAGATTTGATATTTCCACCAAATTCATTACAAATGAATATTTTATTGAAAAGCAAAATACATGTACTTTAAAAAAAATAATAGGGAGTTGTTTATTTCATAATGCATACAAATAAGAAATATTAATGCTCTTGAATATCCTTGCAATACTAATACATGAATCCTTGAATTTTTGGGGGATTTTTTTTCTACATAACAAAAATATGTTTAAATTGCATTAATTTAAAAACATGTGTACATTCCTTGATTTTTTTGAGGATTTCTTTGCTACATATTTCAAAATCGGAACATGCACAAAGAAAATATGTAATTTCCTAGACTTTTTCCCAGTGTTTCTGCAGATATTGAGAATGATATTGAGAAAATGTTTTAATCCAGGATGGTTTAATTGTGCTTTATCATCTGATTCAAGTTTTATGTGTCAGTGGGAGGTAAATAAAACTGATCTACATCACATATCAAAATACCAAGATCATATTATTATATTATGACAAGTCAATCAATGTCGTCACAGATCAGGTATATATGTAAAGTTGTAACCTTAATGACTGATTTCTTTATAGCCGTTTGTAGTCGATACGAAATTATTGAATTTATGAATGATATTCTGATTATTTTTCTTGATTATAATTACAAGACAGGTCGTCATGTGAAGTTTTGATTGAAATTGGCACAGTTTTATCACGGGTTACTAATGTGACTTACAAGCTTTTGCAATCTTGAAAAAATGTCATTCAAACATATAGGGACCAGGTTTTTTGGCCACCTTGAATTTCCCTGAAGAGTACAATATATGTATAGCTTATAATGTATGATGAGAAGAAAAGTGTGACTTTTTTTTGTCAGAAGCCATGACACTATTTTAGTTAATAGTCTGTAATGTTTATGTTGTCATTTTCAATTTGACAAGATCTTAATTGGTATATTTTAAAGCTATATCTTGATATGAAATATTTAAGAAAAACTTTATTAACAGTAAAATTACTGTTCTTGTGATTCTGGAAAGAGTTGTAACAAATAATTTCTCTTATTATTTACCACAGATTAATGAATATTTTAAGTAAAAGGAATAAAATGTTCCAGAACGAACAAAATATCGTGGTAGGGTTTTCACGGTTATGCCATGATTTAATGCATACATGTGACATTCATTGTAAAAAAAATTATACAAACTTATTTCTGTCATTAAGGTATTTTAGAAGTTTTCTTTTTCAATATAACAAAATATAATCTTTGCAGCCGAAATATAGTTTTTATATAATTATACTTTGAAAGAGTATCATTTCTGCGGTCTCAAATTATCATTTATAATTCATTATCAACTTTATATACATGTATATTAAATTCAAATTGTTTAACCAATGAACATTTAAACAAGAAAAATATTACATACATTTGTATGTAATATAGGTACGATTGCATACTACTTTTTGTGAAGACTTTTTATGTTTGCTGCATTAAAAGTGTAATGTAAAATGAACAAACATGTCATGAGATATTTTAATCTTTAAGCATTTTCATGGAATGTACTTAATGTATCATCATATTAAAGTTGCATGCCTTCAGATGAGAAAAATGATTTCAAGGAAAAGAAAATTCACGGTCAATTGACTGCTTTGAAGCATAATCACAAAATAAAATTACAGGAAATTAAAAACCTTTTTAATACACTAAAGGTAGAATTTCATTGTCTAAATCATAGTCGCAGATTTGAGATATGATTATTTATTCAAATTAACATCATTATTGGTTATATATTGATAAAAAAATACCGAAAGACACAGTTTGTAAATATTTATTACAATAAAATATAAAAAAGGTATTTTCCATTCTATGCGACGCGCCGAGGTAAGCTATATTTATAATTTGGGATAATCACTTGATACTGTAAATGGCAGCCATTTTACGATACGAAAATGCCTGGCCCTCCTCGGACAGTTTATCCTGCCGAAAAGATATGAAAAAATACTTGCAATTCAAAGTTTGTTTGCTACATAAAGATTATCGATTTACTCTTTTACTCTGCCTGATTGTAATAATATTGAGGCTTAAACCATCACGTTATCAACACACATGTAGGTGTAAACTAATTTCGTGTTCATTAAAATTATTCTGTTAATAGACATATAACAATCTTATTTACAAATGAATTGATAAAACAATGATCCCAGAAGCATTTAAGATAATAACAAGATATTTATGAAAATAAATGCATATAAATTGTAAATTTGTGTATGACAACTCACCCCCTAAACAAAACATAATAGACTCAACCAAAACAAGCCTAACTACATGTATGTAGTTGCATGACCATGATTAGCAATAGCAAACCAAGTTTAAGAGGTAAAGCTATTGTAAAAATAATACTATGACCACAGCAGATTTCGTACAGAAAAAATTATTTACTAATTTTATAAATCATTGAGAACAATAGGACAGACTGCAATAAGCCAATATTCAAAATACTTGCTTCTTAAGCACAAGATTGAATAAAGTAATGGGATATGTTGTCCAGTATTAACACTGTTTGACATTGCAAGTTTGATCTAATTGCGGCTTAACTAGGAAATTAAGCCAAAATCATAAGCCAGCAGAAATTACAATGTACTTTAATATCCATTTCTTATCATATATAATTTT